CATTTCTTTACCAGTCTCTGCTCCCAAAGTAGACCCTAGTCTGGGTTACTCTGACCATTTTGCAGTTACCTCATTGACTGGATTCTCCTTTGAGTTCCTGACAGAATATAAAACACAGACTTTCCTCCTTCTCTAAACTGTATTGTTGTGAGTTGCCATTGAGTTGATTCTGACTCATGGGGATTCCATATGTGCCACATAAAACTGGTGCATAGTGTTGTTTAGGTTGTGACGTTTCAGAAGCCGATCGCCAGACCTATCTTCTGAGGCACTTTTGGGTGGATTGAACTGCCAACCTTCTGGCTAGTAGTCAAGCACTTAACCATTTGTACCACCCAGGAATTTCCTCTAAAACACTCACCTCTGTTTGCTAGAGTAATTCTTCATTGGGCGATACAGGGCCTGGGAGGAAAACAAAGAACTACTCAAGCCAGGAAAAGGAGCTCTAGTAGCGTAGCGCTTATGAATCGGGCTGCGAACCTTAAGGCCAGCAGTTCGAAACTACCAGCCATTCCGTGGGAGAAAAGATGAGGCTTTCTGCTCCCGTAAAGATTTACAGCCTCGGAAACCCTGTACAGGGTCGCTATGGGTCGGAACCGACTCGAAGGCACTTAACAACAACTCAAGCCAGGACAGAGGTGAGAGCAAGGACAGAGGTGAGGATTCATTCTTTTTCAGTACTCTAGCATCAACATCTAACCCAATGTCCAGCAGATAACAAACCAAAACCCACTGCCACTGGGTCAATTCCAACTCATGGAGACCTTGTAGAACATAGCAGAGCTGCCTCCTAGCGTTTCCAAGGCTGTAAAGCTCTAAAGAAGCAGACTGCTTCATCTTTCTTCCTCAGAGTGGCTGGTGGGTTGGAACTGCCATCTTTTCAGTTAGCATCCCAACATTTCACCCACTGTGCCACTAGCCACCGGGGCTTTTTGTCCAGGGGATGTTGGTGTTGTTACTAAGTGTTGTCTAGCTGGCTCCAGTTCATAGGGACCCTCCCTGCATAGGGTTTCCAGAGGGTAGCTGGTGGGTTTGAACTGCCAACCTTGACACTAACAGTTAAGTGCTTATCCTATAGTGCCACACCAGGACTCCATTGTCCAGTGGATTGTTGTTGCTGTTGTTAAGTGCCATTGAGTCTGTTCTGACCCATAGCGACCCCATGAGTATAGGATTTCTGAGGAGCGTTGGTGAGTTTTTGGTTCAAACCAACCTTGCAGTTGAATGCTTATCCTACAGCACCACACCAGGACTCCTGTCCAGTGAATGTGGTAGTAGATGTGTTTGGACTCATAGCGACCGTGCATAGGATTTCTGAGGCTGTAAATCTTCCCTGGGGCAAAAAGCTTCATCTTTTACCTGCAGAACAGCTGGTAGTTTCAAACTGCTGGCCTTTAGGTTAGCGGCTGGACTCGTAACCACTGTGCTACCAGAGCTCCTTGTCCAGTGCATGGTGGTGGTGTGCCATGGAATCAGTTCCAATTCATAGTGACCCTGTATAGGGTTTCCAAGGCTGTAAATTTTTACAGGAGCAGAGAGCCTCATCTTTCTCCTGCAGAACGGCTGGTAGTTTCGAACTGTTGACCTTGAGGTTAGTAGCCCAACTCATAGCCACTGTGCTACCAGAGATCCTTGTCCAGTGGATTGTTGTTGTTGTTAAGTGCCATCGAGTCAATCCTGACCCATAACAACCCTGTATAGGGTTTCCGAGGAGCAGATGGTGAGTTTGAACCGCCGACCTTGCAGTTCAAACGGCTTTGCAATCTGGCGCATTAACCCACAGCGCCATAGCCACACCAAGACTCCAGTGGATAGAAGGTGCTAAATAAACATTTGTTTAATTAGTTAAAAAAAAAAAAAAAAAAAGGATAGATTTTTTTACCCTATGTTATGGAGTAAAGTCTACCCTATTACTACATGTTATGGAGTCCTGGTATGGTGCTGTAGGTTAATGTGCTGGACTGTAAGGTCACTATGAACCTCAAGGTTGGCTGTTCAAGTTCACCAGCTGTTCCTCAGAAACGCTATGCAGGGTTGCTATGAGTGGGTACTGACTCAACGGTACTTAACAACAACAAATTACATGTTATGTTTTATGTAAACTTCATAATAATACTGAAGGTAGGTAGAGAGGAAGAATATGCTGAGAGAGGTGGATAAACTTGCTAAGGTCACACAGTCAGTAAGCTGGGGAACCAGGACATAAACCCAGACTTTTTGACTCCAAAACGAATTTCTTCGGGCTATACCAGATTACTTTCCTAAGTGGGACTGAGCCATGTCTGTCCTCCCTCCTCACCCCATCCTCTTGCTCCAACATTCTCAAGACTTCTCCCCACTCAGCAAAGCAGGCTGTCTTCAGCAGCCACTGAATGTGGGCCCACTCCCCTACACTCGCTTGGCCTACTCCTCCCCCACACAGTCTCCATTTCCTGGGGTTGAGAGCTAAGGTTCAGAGGGGCCAGGAAGGGGATGGGGGAGGGGAGTGGCTAGCTCCAAAACAGTCCGGGCAGCTGTCCCTGTCACAGAGAGAGGAGACTGTGTGACGGTGTGTGTCTGTCTGCCTGAATATGGGAGCACATGTGTGGGAGAGTGTGGGTTTGTGTGCCTCTAGATCCAAGTCCAAGTGCTTATTATGTCTGAGGGGGGCCCGTATGTGTCTGCATGTGTGTCTGTCTGTCTCTGGGAACACACAGCTTGAACTGTGCTTTCTCAGCCTCATCCTTTACTCTGCCCTTTATCCCTCCTCATTCTGTCTCCTTCTGCTGAAATAGAGGGTGAAACCAAGATCCAGGTATGGAATGCAGGGGGAAGGGGAGTTTGGAAAATTGGAAGTCTGAAACCAAAGTAGAAAGGAAGAATGAAGGACTAGGGTGGGATTTAAAATTCCTCTACAGGGAAATCCAACTGTCCCTTCTTTCCCAGAAGTCAGCGGCATGGGTTTCATTTTGAGAGCATCTTAGATATGAAGTAAAGGGAGACTTTAGAATACTACTTTTCCCAGCTCTCAGTTCTAAGCCTTCTTCTGTCATCTTCCCAGCTGATTTGGGAAGAGTTGCTAATCAAGGCTGCAACAGGAGGTCCCTTCCTAGGGCATCACCCTTCCATTGGAGCATCAAAGCATTGAGACAGTTTTCCAGCCCCAAACCTCTGGCTCCTGATCTCAGACCTGGAAGGGGTGGTAGGCTGAGCATACCCCTACCCATAGCCTGACTACTCCCCTTCCTTCCTTATTTTCCTCCAGCCCTGTCTCTCTCCAACCCCTAGGAAAAATCCAAGGTCTAGTTTCTTCTGCCTGTGGAAAAAGCAAAGACTATTTCTCAAACTCCTATTTTGACCTCTGTCCTACCCCCAACCTGGCCTGAGAGGTGAGGAGAAGGGTGGACAGCTGTGCTCTCTGAGCTGGTTGGGGTGGGGGTGGGGGGTAGGGGTATTACCATGTGCAAATACAGGCTACTGCCCATCTGTGCCTCCCTGAGAAAGGTTCCTAATAAATTCAGAGCAGCCAAGTGACACACATCTCAATCTAGGCTAATCCGACACATTAATGCCACCCAGCACAGCCTGAGTTAAGCCCCTGATAAAAGGGGATGGGGGTGGCAGCAGCAGAGGCAGATAGACCCTTCCCACTCAACTTTCCACTTCCCCTCCCTGTGGCCTTAGCTTCCTTCAGTTCTCTAACCGAGAAGCAGCCAGAGTCCTGAGCTCCCCATGAGTGCTCCTTCCCCTTCCACCAGAGAGGACCCAGGAGAGCCAGCCAAAAAGAAGTCTTTGCAGAGGAGTCCTAGGCAATGTCTGCTTAGATGTGGAATAGAGAAGATAAGTCAGATGGTGGTTTTAGAAGTCCATAGGTACTGCCTGGGCTGGGCCTGGTAGAGGCCATGCATGAAAGTAGAGCATGATTAGTGAGAAGCCACGTGTGTCTTGGCAGACATTGATCCTGGAACCTTTTCTGGAGATAAATCAAATGAAATCTCTCCAGAAAGCATAAGCAAAACAGATCAAAGCAGAGCTGTCCTGGTTGAAGCCGCCTAAGTAAAGTCAGGCCGCACTTCTAACCCAGACCCCAAAGAGCCTTCTGGGCAGTACCTCAAACACAACTTAGGGAAAAAGCATTAGCTTAGGACTCTCACAGAGATGGTTCAGATCCCAGTTCTACTACTTACAAGTTCTGTGACCTTAATCAAGTGACTTCAAGCCTCAGGTTCCTCACCTAAAATTGTTGTTGCTGTTATAAGTGCTGTTGTTGTTAAGGAGTCCATTCTGACTCCTACTGACCCTGTATAGGGTTTCCAAGGAGCTGCTGGTGAGTTTGAACTGCCGACCTTGTGGCTCAGTGCATTATCCTGCAGGGCCACACCAGGACTCCTAAAGTAGGTTGCTAATATTTAATCTTGATTTATTCTTGTAAAGGTGAGAGATAATGAGGAGGGTGTATAATTGTTGTTAAGTGCCTTGGAGTCAGTTCTGACTTATAACAACCTGTATAAGGTTTCCAAGGAGTGGTTTATAAGTTTGTTGCTCAAACTGACCATGTGGTCCAGTGCTTTATCTTACAGCACCACACCAGGACTCATTATTTTCATGGGAGAAATATCAGAACTGGTGGAAAATCAAATCTCTCCCCAAAACAGTGATTAACAGAAGTTTGGTTTATTTCTCCAATGCATCTGGTTGAAGGGCATGTTGAGTATATGGGATAGTGTGAAGTTTTTTAAGATGAGAGGGTGTGCAACAGTGAACATTTTCATTAATTCAATATTTATTGAACAGTTCTAGTGCTCAGCAATGAACAGTCTAGTGTGTATATCTGTGCAAAAAACCTTTTCCCCTGAGGCTGCTATTTCCCCCCATTCTATCCTAAGCATTTTTCAGGGTGGGCTTCAGGTCTGTGTCTGGGAAAGGGGCAAGAAATTTAGGGGGAAACACTATGAGAAGCCATATACCTCTGAGACTTTGACCATCATCAAAGTGTTCTGTGTCTTCTCTGTCTCCTACAGATCCCTCTCTCCATGGAGTTCGGCCTGCTCAGCGAGGCGGAGGCCCGGAGCCCTGCCCTGTCGCTGTCAGACTCCGGCACTCCGCATCCACCGCTCGCAGAGCACGGCTGCAAGGGCCAGGAGCACAGCGGTGAGCGCGCCCCCTTCTGGGACTGGAGGAGATAACAGCTCAATCCCTACTGGGGACAGGACCTCCAGATGGGGGACAGGACCTCCAGATGCAAGCCAGGGGTGGGGGTGAGGAGGTCCCTGAGAGGAGGGAACCCGAGCAGTCCTGACACCCTGTGTCCGGTCCCCAACCCTTGCCTCTAGACTCAGAGAAGGCCTCGACTTCCCTGCCGGGCGGCTCCCCAGAAGACAACTCGCTAAAGAAGAAGCAGCGGCGGCAGCGCACACACTTCACCAGTCAACAGTTGCAAGAGCTGGAGGCGACCTTCCAGAGAAACCGCTACCCAGACATGAGCACGCGCGAGGAGATTGCCGTTTGGACCAACCTCACCGAAGCCCGCGTGCGGGTACGGCCAACCCTGACCCTACCCCAGCCTCCCTCAGACAGCTTCGGAACCCACAGCCTGTGGTTCTGCCCCGCCTGCCCCAGGCTCGCATCCAACAACCCCACGCCGACTTTTCCCACAAACTCTTAGGTTCTGCTTACCCCACCTTCCTTTCAGATCGTGCCTTTCTTCGCCACTGGCACCTTTTCTGTTCTCCGCCTCACCCCTACTTGACCTCATCCTACTTCTTTCCGCTGTTGCCCTTTCCTCCGTCTGGCCTCCCACCCCCATCTGGCTTATCCGAGACCCCCAAGTCAGGTCTTCAGTCACCTCCTTTTGTCTGTCCTCCGCCCTGTGTACCTGTCCCCAGCCACCCCGACTCGGCCGGCCGACACTGCAGCGCCAGGCCCTGACAGCCTTTCTCCCGCACCCGCAGGTGTGGTTCAAGAACCGGCGGGCCAAGTGGCGCAAGCGCGAGCGCAGCCAGCAGGCGGAGCTGTGCAAAGGCGGGTTCGCGGCGCCGCTGGGGGGTCTAGTACCGCCCTACGAGGAGGTGTACCCCGGATACTCGTATGGCAACTGGCCGCCCAAGGCTCTTGCCCCACCGCTAGCCGCCAAAACCTTCCCGTTCGCCTTCAATTCGGTCAATGTGGGGCCTCTGGCTTCGCAGCCCGTTTTCTCGCCACCCAGCTCGATCGCTGCCTCCATGGTGCCCTCGGCCGCGGCCGCCCCGGGCACCGTGCCAGGACCCGGGGCCCTGCAAGGCCTGGGTGGGGGCCCCCCCGGGCTGGCTCCAGCCGCTGTGTCCTCCGGGGCAGTGTCCTGCCCTTACGCCTCGGCCGCTGCGGCCGCAGCAGCAGCCGCCTCTTCCCCCTACGTATATCGGGACCCGTGTAACTCGAGCTTGGCCAGTTTGCGGCTCAAGGCTAAACAACACGCCTCTTTCAGTTACCCCACCGTGCCCGGGCCGCCCCCGGCCGCCAACCTCAGTCCGTGCCAGTATGCTGTGGAACGGCCGGTATGAGCGGCCCGGCCTGGGTATCACCCCCAAGGGCGGCGGCGATTGTTCACAGCCTCCCCGGACTGGGGTCATCTTCTCTGGCTTGACCCCGCCCCCGAGTCTGAGACGAGCGCTTGGACACCTAGGGAACTGCCTGCTCAGAAGAGGGCTTCCCCCTCCCAACCCTGAGGTGGGGCTGGGTCCAACACACAGACCGCAGCACCCTTGGGACTAAGGCCAGGAACCAACTCAACCCCAGGGGCCAATTCACCCTTGGCCTATCCCGCTTTCTCCAGAATCCCTCCGTTTTCAAAGATAAATCAAATAAACTTACGCGGACTGTCAAAAGCTTGATGACTGAGAGTCACGGTTGAGCCCTCTAAACACGAACCTCATCTTCCCCCATTTTCTAAAGGAAGGAAGGCTGGGTTGGACAAGAACCAGGTGAGGGTTCTGGTTTCTGGGGCTTTAGCCCATTAAACTTCCCCCAACCTGGGAAAGCCCAGATTCCTCGGGGTGAGGAGTGTGTGTGTGTGTGTGTTTCCAAGGAGCCTTGGTGACACAGTGGTTAAGTGTTCAGCTGCTAACCAAAAGGTGGGCAGTTCAAACTGCTCAGCAGGAGAGACATAGCATTCTGCTTCAGTAAAGCTTTACAGCCTTAGAAACCCCATGTAACAGTCCTCCTCTGTCTTACAGGGTTGCTGAGTCAGAATCAACTCTTCAGCTAGGAGTTGTGTGTTTTCTAAGAAAAGTGTGGGTGTGCGTTTGTGTTTTCTGGTGAAAAGGGTGTGTGAATCAGAGGCGTATCTAGGATATGGCAGGTACCCTGGGTGCCAACTTGACGTGGGGGGCACCAATGAGCAGTTTCTATTTGTTATTGCTGCTTCCATCTCCAGCTGTGAGAGACCATTCAGCAATTTAAAACTAAAAACCATAGGGGCTCTGTTACCTAGATATGGTAGCTATGCCTCTGGCTTGCTGAGGTTGTGTGGCTCCAGATGTAGCTTCTCGCCTTGTTTTTGTTAAGTGTAGTTGAGTCGGTTCTGACTAAAGTTTTTGTTAAAGTGTAGTTGAGTCGGTTCTGACTAGAGTTTTTGTTAAGTGTAGTTGAGTTGGTCTACATAGGGTTTCTGAGGAGCGGCTGGTGACTTTGAACCTCCAACCTTGTGATTCAAACTGGCCTTGCAGTACAGTGCCATACCAGGATTCACCTAGCATCTGCCAAAGCTGGTGCTGTGGCGCCACTTAGTGGTCTCAGGGAGGATAGTTGATAGAGGACTCCACTACTTATGTGACATATAAGGGAGCCCACCCTCCCTATTGTGAAACAGTGAAAACGATCCTAAATTCTGCAACTCAGGATGCTTGTGATCTTAAATAAGTCACTTCACATTTCTGCACCTGTTTCTCACTGGGTCATATGAGGGGTTGGGGTCTTTAATAGCAATAAAATTCTGGTTTGTAACAGACATTTATAAGTGCCTACCAGGCAAAGGATTCTTATTTATTGTCTACGTGTGTGCCTCTTATCCTTTCACATACTCCCATTGTTAGAAGATGTCCCTAATCATAACAGCACTTTTCTTCCCCCAAAGTCCAAAAGGATTACTCATCTTGTTGAAATCTTTAATTTAAAAAAAAATAGAGCAAGAAATAGAAAGAGTTCTGGTTAGAAATATAAATAACTGATCCCTGAGAGTCCTCCACAGTCCCAGTCCCAGTCCCAGGCATACTTGGGCTTCACATTAAAAACACAAGTGTCAAAGTAGACTATCACATCCCCATCCCTGAGATAATACTTCCTGTCTGTCATAACTTCTAGCCACTTTGAGGCATACATCCCATGGGGGAACCCATGCAGGTAAGGTACTCTAATCATTCTCCCAAACCTAAGTTCACCCCCTCTGTGCCCTGGGGTAGAAAGAGCTTGGGACTCTCTCTTTATCTCCAATCTTTCACTGGCTTTTTGTCTTGCTTTTGTCCTTGGGTGTGAGATAGGCTTGGCAGAAGAAGTGGGCAAACAGGATGAAGTAGGTTGAATACAAAATGGAGGACCAGATGAACTGTTCCATTGTGGTTTTGTCACATCCGTGTTCATGTCTCCAGATGTAAGTCAGGCTGCTGACGAATGCTCCAAAAAACATCTGCACGATCTGTAGGCTAGTGATGAGCATGGGAAGCATCTTGGGAGGGTTCATTTTGGCAGCCCTTAGAGTGTAGTAGCTGTACATGATGGCATGCACTCCGAAGTTCATGGTCATGAACCAGCCACCAGCAGCCATCTTCTTATTGTAGCCAAAGAATGTGAACACTAGCACTGTGCTGTGGTGGTACCAGTGCACAAAGATGAGAGGCCGCTTACGCAGGACAATGAAAGCTGTGTCTCCTAGGAAATGGGAAGTCAAAGTTGGCACACACACCCGAGTACTGGAGACCCATACACACGTGCACTGGATATGGGGACTCAGGGAGAATTCTTAGGTAGGGAAGGGGGGATTTGTGCAGAGTCTGACTGTTGTTAGAACCCAGGAGTGGGAAAAGAGCTTTCCATGTAATGAGTGAGGGGAGGTCTCTGAGAAGGACTGCAGTTCCCTGGGTGCCAGAGGAACAAACTCTTGACACTCACCGAGTTCAATGATCTTGCTTAAAGTAAACAGGATGGACCAGAATCTGACTGCAGAATTTTCGATGAAGGAGGTATAGCACACAGAGTATTTTGGACCCGCCCTGTATAGCACAGTCCCCATAAAGCTCCATGTTCTCACTGTTCCCAGGATACTGAAATTGGACAGAGAAAAGAAAGTATATGAGAGTAATCTCCAAGCACCAATGGTTCCAAGCTCCACTACCTCTCTAACTTTCAGTCAGGGGAGGGTGGGATGGTCAAAGCTTCTGAGCTATTGGGATCAATCTGCTGTCAGTAGTATAAGAGGAGATGAGGGCTGGGAAAAGACCAGGGAATGCCAAAGGATGGCAGTAAAGATTGGGTTAGGGAATGGGCTCCTTGGGGTGAGGTAGGAGGTGGGAAGATGGTGGGGTGGCTAGATGGGAAGATCAAAGGCATTTAGGGAAGGAAATAGGGGAAAGAAGAGCTAAGGAAGTTGCTGGAGGATTCTTGGAAAAGGGTTTTAGGAGCTGGTAGTACTAAAGGCTGAAGAAATTTGATGGAAGTACACAGACCCCAGGAACCCAAAAGGGATGGAGCAGATAGGGACAGTTTGGGGCCTGGGGATAAAGGAAAACAGGATAATATGGGAGGAGGGTTAAGGTGAGAAGGGAGGTAGAGCTGAGATAATGGGATGGGAAGAATGTTAGGAGGCAATTTGGTCAGTTGTTGTTGTTAAATGCCTTCGAGTCGGTTCTGACCCATAGCGACCCTGTACAGGGTTTCCAAGGCTGTAAATCTTTATGGGAGCAGAAAACCTCATCTTTCTCCCGCGGAGCAGCCGGTCGTTTCGAACTGCTGACCTTAAGGTTCACAGCCCGATTCGTAACCACTACGCTATCAGAGCTCCTTTTTGGTCAGAGTGGAGGTTAATGTCGGGGTTTCTAGAAGGAGAGTTACAATGGGGAGCTAGGGTTTAGAGGTATGTAGGGTCTTACCTGAAGATGGCCAGGGTGAAAGACCACATGATAAGAGGCTTCTGCAGGTTGAAGCCCTTCCGTGCCTTCATGTAGTTCTGTCCCACAAAGACAAGCAGCAAGTAGATGACAGATATGGAGAATGAGGTTGTCCTGGAAGGCAGAAGGCAGAGGGGATAGGCTCATGAGTGGAACAGAGGAATGCGCTGGGTTAGAGCCCTAGTTCTGCTACTTTCACTAGCTGTATAAAAGGGGAATAACACTTCTAGCACAGTTAAAATACATAGGACACCAAGGTTTCTGTGATTCTTGCTCTATTGCTGGGCTTGGGAGTGGGTAATAGTTGTCTAGCCCACGCCTAGAAACCAACCCATTGCTACAGTGTAAGAACATGGCAATTGCTTCTGTTTGGATGTTAAGTGAGTCAAGTCAGTGTTGATTCATAGCAACCCTGTATAGGATTTCCAAGGAATGGCTGGAGGGTTTGAACCACCAACCTTGTGGTTAGTAGGCCAGTGCTCATCATACAACACCACCCCAGGATTCCCTCTGCCTGGTTAGGCCATGGCAATTGGAGCACAAAGTCCGCCTGCAGACATCTCTGAGGAACTTTAGGGTAAAGTTAGAGAGTCTGGGGAAAAGTTAAAGGACCTCCTTGACTTTGTTTCCTTCTGCACAGCAGGGACAATGGAGCATGTTGGGGGAAATGTGATCTTTGTGATGGGTGCAGGCACTTCCTCCACACTAGTACTACACACTAACAAGCACACACACAGCCACAAAGGACAGAGGAGAGGCATCTATAAGGTGGGTGTAAGTAAGGGTTTACTGTTGTTAAGCGCTGTGGAGTCGGTTCCGACTCCTAGTGACCCTGTACAGAGTTTCCGAGGTTGTAAATCTTTACGGTAGCAGAAGTCTCACCTTTGTTCCACAGAGCAGCTGGTGGGTTCAAACTGCCGACCTTATGGTTAGCAGTACAGTGATTATCCTCCAGAGCTACTGAGCTCCCCGAATGTGGCTTAGATTATTAGCCTATTACTCCATGACCAGGTCTCACTAAAATTCATTAATACCTTGGCTTCCCATATTCCTCTCCCCATCATCTTATTCAGCTTAAAGCTCTTTAAGGTGCCACACCATCTGCACACTAGTTGAATAGCAGGGTTGTGAAATCAGTACAGGGAAGCTCTTAAAGAAAATAACTGGCTCTTTAGGAAAATCATTGCCCCTTCCTGCCCTCCTACCCCAACAGCATTCAGCTGGGTCGGTCCCCTGACATGGTGCTGCCCCTTCCCCAAGTCTCACCAGTATTCCTCCAGAAAGACCCTTAAGACCTCGACCTCCTCAAATTCGTAGGGCTGGAACAGATGGTTGATTTCGCGGGTGACATTCATGACTGTGGCCATTTAGTTGTGCAGACGTCAAGGACCGGAGCTTAGGGAGCTGGATCAAGAATGGAACGAATGTCGGGGCCGAAAGGAACGGATTCAGGACGTAAGGAACCTGGGGCCAGCCGAAGAGAGTGTCCGAGGTACGCACGTGCGTTGCAACCCAGCCCAGGTCTACCGCCGCCGTCGCTGCTGTATATATCGAGTTATTGCAAAGCCGCGATCCGACAGGCACACCGCCCCGCGCACCGCCTCCTCCAGGCCGTTACCCAATCTCAGCCAAGATACGCCCCCGCCCGCCCCTGGGCTACAGTCCGCTCTCTGATTGGTCAACCTCAGAGCACTCACCCATCACACACACATGGGTGTCACGTACGCTCCGCCCCAAATCCATGCTTGAATCTTCTCCCGGCTCACCTTTTCATCCTTTTCTTTCCCAACCTGTTCACCTGTAACTTTTTGGCAGGGTCCCTGATGGGTCTTTGGGTATCCGGACTGACCAGTCCTCCCTTGGCACTGCCAACCATAGCCGTTGCCTCAGTTGTCTTCAATCCCGACCCAATTGGCAAAGAAGAGAGAGAGTGAAATTGTCTTCAGCCTGTGGCGTCCCCTCCCAGAGGTGGGGGCGTTAGGTTTCTGGCTCCCTAGATCCTAGGAAACTCCTGCCAGAGATTTGGATGAACCAGATTTAGGAAAAGGTCAGCAAAGATCTCTCACATAGTGCCGGCTGCCCTATAGGTTTCAGTCTGTGTTTGCTGGCGGACGGGAGATAAATTTTAACGAATTGTTGAGGTTGTTGATGTTGATGTTTGGGGAGGCGGTTGTTGAGGCTGTTGTGGTTTCTTTACAATTTCCTGAATTCCTGAACTGTCCCAGCCTAACATCCAGTAATAATCTTAGGGGAGGAAATGGGGTCAGGCTTCTGAAATGGTTTTCTTCAGGTTTCCTGGAGGCCTCCTAGGGTTTAGCTAGGAGTCTCAGTGCATCTATCTCCCCTGTATACTATTGTTCTGTCTCCCAATCTGTTCTTGTCTAATTGAATCTGTTTCTTTCTGGGTCTGTGTACCCAGCCCGAAAGGAATAATCTTATTTCTCCCCCTACACTTTAAGAGAAATACAATGCTTACCGGAACTTCTACAGTTTGAAATAAAATGGAAGTTTACAAAACAAGTGCTAAGAGAAATAAAGAATAATTAAAATCAAGATGCGGCTACAAATTGTTAGATGGAACAAAACCCACAAGATCTGGGACCAGAGGACCCAGATGAGAATCCTTTCTGAACCTCAGGGTAGAGTGAGAAGTCCTAACCATGCTACCTAACTTACTTTCAAGTTCATTCTTTGGTCTCTGCAATTGATCATTTCTCACCTGATTACTACAGTAATTACCACAGCATGTCAGCTGGTCACACTGCCTCCCTCCTCCTTTAATCCAATGACTCTTCTTTTGAGTACATTAGACTTAGAAGGAAATTCCCAAACTTGGTTAATTTTCAGATTCTTGAGTCCCAACTCCAGGGATTCTAACTCTGTAGGTGGTTTCAGGCCATGTTTTGAAAAACATCACTTTTGTTCTCCTCCAGAAGAGAGTTCAGTCTAAAATTTAAATCGCATCATGCTGTTTTTCTGCTTAAGACCCTTTAGTGGCTCCCACATGCTTTATATATAGCCTGACACTCACAAGTTGATCAATATATGCTTGATGGGGTAATGAGTAAATGAAATAATGAATATTACAATAACATCATGTAGGTGTTGTAAGACCTGGATTGAAGTCCCAGCTACACCACTAACCAGCCATGCAATTTTAGACAAGTTACCTAACCTTCATTAGAAAAATGCAATGCAGATTGTCATATTTGCCTGCCTGCCTATCTCATAAAATCTAACATAAGTTAGATAATATATCTTAGTTTTATGAATGTAGAAAATGTTTACTTTGCTCAACATTCTTCCCTGACATCCTTCCCTAGCACATAATAGGTACTCAAATAATGTTTGTTGCATGATTGACCGAATGTATGAAATCCTTAGCCTATAAATCTGGGTGACACTGTGTCTCCAGGATAAACACTTCAAACTTGTCACATCTTTTGTGCTATTATATTTTGTTTGTTTCTGATTCTTGACTCTTTTGAAAGCCTCAGCATAGGTAAGAAGTAGTCAGCATCCGTGGCATGAGCAAATAAATAAATCAAGGCCTGCATGGCTCTAACAATTTTCAAAAGACCATTTCCTTTATCAGATGCCAAGTAGTTGCCTGTCACTTTTGTGAGTTCTCAGCCCAATTTCTCTCCCTATTTCCAACCATTTGTTAGACAAATTTACCAGTATATTCTGCAAAAACTTTCAGAGAAACACATCTCAAACAGAATTTATCATCTTCTTCAAAAACAGGCTGATCTTCCTAGCCACTATTTATCTAATTTCCCAGGCTAAAAATTGTGAAGTCATGTTTTAATCCTCCATAGGACATACTCCAGAGTCCTGGTGAGGCACTGCGGGTTAATGCACTGGACTGCAAAGTTAGTTTGAATTGCCAAGTTGGTGGTTCAAGCTCACCAGCTCCTTCTCGGAAACCCTATATAGGGTCGCTATGAGTTGGCATGCTTATCAGAATGCCTTTATTCAACTTCTATCTCTGCCACTTGCCAACTAGGTGGCCTTGGACAAGACACCATCAAACATTTCTTGGCCTTAGCTTTCTCATAAGTAAAATGGGAATTTCCCAGAAGAATGTTTATAAGGACCAAATAAGACCATGTATGTTAAAGGGCATCATACCACGTAAAGCTTTGAGCAAGCATCAGTAATAATTACCTCCCACAAAAGTAACTTCATACAAATTTCAAGTTCCTTTTAATAAAAACTCAACTAAATTAAGTTAAAAGAAAGCCATGAAATGGGAATATAGTTTTAAGTAATTAAAAATGAAACCAGTTCTATCTCTAGTCCTTGGTAAATGGCTGAAGACACAGGCTCATTATTCGCTTCAGTGTCTCCAAAACTACTGCTAATTTTTTTGACAGAAAGGTGTTTCTATAACACACATCAGTTCATATCATTACATTTTGAGAACAAATAAGTCTTCTGGATAAAGATCAGGCTCTTGAGTTTAGTTCTCACTCTTTCTTTCTAGCCATCATCCCTCAGCCCCAGCATTCCACATTTACACCATAATGGAAAAAATCACAACTTCTTAAACACAAATGCTACGTTTTTAGTTTTTTTCAACTCTTTAGTTTTTCAACCTTTTTTCCCAAGAAGGCTTTTTTTCACCTGGACAAATCTTATTCATTATTCAGCCTTAATTCTAACAGTACTTATCCCGCAAAAGCCTAACCTACTTCCAACAAGGTCAAATATTTCCTCTTTGTCTTCCACCCACAGGACTTTACACATACTACCTACAACTATTGCACTTTTACCAATTGACTGCAGTTAGTCATATATTGTCTATCTTGTCCTGGTTCCCCACTCTATTCCAAATGGTAATATTCATTAGTTCACTCATCCTGCAGGGTAGTACACAGCATCTAGTACTTTGGTGGTCACTCAAAATATAAAATATATCTGTTGCTTTGAACTGAATAAGCACCTAAGAGGAAACAAAAACAATAAACATATTAAAAAAAGGACTCAACTTACCTAGTAATTAGGAAAATGCAAATTAAAGGCTGTATGTCTAGTATGGTCCCAATAAATAGTCATTAAACCAGGTAAAAATTTAAACCCAACGCTGGTCAAAGCTTTGGGAAATAGGTACATTCATACCTGGCTAGTGGACAAGTAAGTGCATATGTAGAAGCACACTTAAGTAACACTTAGCAGGAGCCAGTGTGCTGATATTCTTTGGTCCAGTCTTTAACCTAGGGATTTAACTCAGTGAAATAAAGCAAGGGGATAAAACATCTGTATTTATTAAAATACAGTGAGACTTCAAATGATAGAGAATTGGAAACAACCCACTAATTGATGATTAAACTATTGAATAATAGCATCATAGAACATCTTGCAATCACTGTAACAACATGAAGAAATATGAAAACATATTTATAAAATTATATAAGAAAACATTAATATTTACACACATACATATATATGTTGTTAAGTGCTATCAAGTCAATTCCAACTCATAGTGACCCTGTATAGGGTTTCTGAGGAGGGGCTGGGGTGTTTGAACTGCTGACCTTGTAGTTTAAACTGACCTTGCAGTCGAGTGCTTATCCTTTAGCACCACACGAGGATGCAATTATATGTGTGTGCACACACATAAATATATATATATGTATATATATATACACACACACACACACACACATATATATCCTATTGCCTCAGTTATCTAAAAGCAATGATGTCCCCAATGATTAAAGTTGAAAGGAAACGTGAAATCAATTTAAAAGGGAGATTATAAGAAAAACCTTCTAAGTCTTTTAAATTGTCTTTCATGATGTTTTAAAATTGATGTCATAGCATTTTTTGGAATACTACACATTTGGAAAAAAATGCTTTGACGACACAGAAAATTCTCAGGATATGTTAGGTAAAAAATAGAGAATGTAAGATTGCATGTATAATATGGTTCCAAGTTCATAGAATTAAAATGTGAATGAAAAGAACCCTGAGAGCAGAATTAGTCGGTGCCTGGCTACCACTACCAACTGCTCTGAAAGGGATCACATTAGAAGGTCCTGGATAGAGTGGGAGAGAATGTGGAACAAAATTCGAAATCACACAAAAAAAGACCATGCTTATTGGTCAGATAGAGACTGGTGGGAACCCCCAAACTATGGCCCTTAGTTACCCTTCAAGTCTGGAATTTAATTCACCCCCCGTGGCTCACTTTATAGTTCTTAGAAGGGAAAAATAACACTAGTGAGGTACACACACCTTAGAATAATCAACCATTTGAGATCAAAAGGGCAGCATTTACTCAAGGAAAGAGTTCAGAAGGGTTAGGAAAGAAAAAGAATGGAAACAGGAAACATAGGGAGGAAGTGGGCTAAGTGAGGAG